TATGTATTGTACATTTTGTTCTGGTTACACTGTCCTTGGAAAGTCCACACTTTTTGCTACTGTATGATTGCTTGGCTAATTTCTCCCTCCAGGTCACTGGTTACATTGGCAAAAATCAACCCATGGCCAAAACAGGCACACATTTGCTACTATTTTTTATTTAATAGTGATGTATCACTACAGCTACTCTATTGTAACATTTTATATTTACATTTTATCCACTCTACTTAGATTTCAGAAGCCTGTTCAGAGGATTCTGTGGCACCTGAACACAGCAGTAATGAGGAGAACATGGAGGAGCCAGAAACCACAGATGTGGAGGAAGAACACAGTGTGGAGCTCTCAGACACAGCAGCCAGCCAGCTCACCCCTCCCGAAAACACATGCCAAGGAATTGGCAGGACCCGACGCCTCTCAGATTTTCGAGCATGGTTTGCAGAAAGTTTTCGCCACTGCTCAGAATCAGAAGAAGGTAAGCCACTAACTTTTCTAGATATGAATTTTGTAAATTTCATTATATGACTTGATAGGCACCAGTTATCAGGGTCTATTTAGATCGAGACTGAGGTAGCCTATTGGTTAGTGAAGCCAGTTATGACACTAGCAAACCAACTGGGAGCCAAGGGTGAGGCCAAGCTTGACTTTAACAGGAAAATTCAAAATGTTCCTACAACTTCAGCTACTTATACCCATAGATCTAGTGATTGTTTTAAAATGTAGTTTTCTTCTAAAGTAAACCAAATCCTCCTCCTTGGAAACAGGGAACCATAAGGGGCCAGAGATACCTTTACATAATCTGGGAACCTCTTTGAAAAAAACCCTCCGGGGTATGAGGAAAGTAGGCACACCTCCCTCCCTCACGTGACCAGCAGCAGGTAATGCCTAACCCTATGCACATACCCACACTCAATATATGCATGGAGTATTTGAGAGGTACAGCATAGTTCGACTGTGAGGGACAAATTATCTAAAGATACCTAATCATTCCTTGTATCTGTGGGATATTGGGGCGGTCAAATGAACAGTTTAATTGCCTAGCACAAGTTTATTTTTGAGTGACCTTACACATTTTTGTTCATTATTCTTAGTATAAATTGGCAAGGATGTGATAAATATTATTTTATCTTTTATCTTCTTCACACCTCCCTTTTTATGCTTTAGTAATAGGAATCCTAGCCCAGGTCCCTCTCCATTTACTTTATTAATCATCGGTGTGGGATCTCTTTGTTTTTAGTGTTTTAGAGTTGAAAATAATTTTAAAAAAAAAATTGCATGGGTGTATCATCTCAAAGCACATAGTATGGTGTGTTTCAGGGAGTCAACAGATCACAAATCACATTTGGAATATATCATTTTTAAATGCATCTCAGTAAAATTATGTGCAAACTTATATGCTTTTCATAAACCCCCCCACTTTTTCTTGTATAAAACATACACATGCTAACCATATAATACAGTGCCAGTTATACTGCCTCCATATTTATCCATCCAATATACTTGTCCCCCATTTCGTTTTATCAATCAGGTCATCACAATTTCACTTAGAGGATAGCTGATGGAAAGATATGCAATCAAAAGTGATTCATGATCCCTCTTTTTTGTTCACCTTTTTTCAGTGGAAAGTAAACTTTTATCATAGTTAGGCCCCTTTCACATGGGCAAACCAACTGGGTTCACCTGTCCATTTTATTGGTGGATCTAATTGGACCATCCATTACCCTCTATGGAGCTGCGGATGTCAACGGACACTTGCATGCATCTGATCCAATATGATTTGATAAAAACAGATGGATGGGGGATCCGTTACCTATCTGTCCAGCGGATCGGGTCAGATGACAGTTGAATGTAACTGGACAGGTGGGCACTGTCCACTCTGCATAAGCAGACCTGTCATCCACCTGCTCAATGGGGATCAGCGGACAGAGCCCCCCACTGAGCAGGCAAATCCACTTGCTAAGTCTACCTGTGTGAAAGGAGCCTTAGGCTAATTTACTAAAAGGTGTTTTAGAATTTTGCAATCAAAAAATGTGTGAATACTCACTTCAACTATTCATGTGAAAAGCAGATTTTCATTCACCCAATCATATACAGATGCTTTTCAAATGAATGGATAACTGAAGTCAATAATACCCAATTTTTTTTTTAATGAAGATTCTTAACTCCTTTAATAAATCCATAAAAGAAGTCGTGGGATCACTGTTTTATTGTGCATGGTTTTCAGAAATTAGACATACATAATAAAGCTTTGAATTCTCCCCTGTACGTACACTTTGTATGGTATGTGGGTGCAGCAAGGGTGTGACATCAAGTAACACAACCAGTGTTATTCTGTAATACAAAAGGGAAAACAAAAGATTGTGCTTGTTCCTGTTTAAAGGATGTTTCACTTTTGGCTCTTAACCTGTAATTAGATGAAATTATAGCTCACTGGGGATTTTAAAGCCACCACATTAATGTCTGACCTGGAATATACCCTGGATTTTATAGCAATAGTAATTACACAGTTATTGTGGTGACAGTTCTTGCTTAGGTATCAATATACAGGCATTGATTTTGGTTTCATGCATGTTGTACTCATTTTGTACTGTATTCTCTGTAAAAAAAATATGTATGCACTACATTTTACTAAATAAGATAATGTTGTTCTGTCTGTATGGGACCTGTGGTGGTCACGCTGCAATTTGATTTATTACAAATATGTGTAATATATATGTAAATGGGTAAAAATAATTTCTCCCCTTGACCCATGAGTCCACCATGAAACTTGGTAGTAATGGAACTTGAATTATGAGGCTGTAAAATAGCTCATATAGTTACATAGTTAGTCTGTCTGAAAAAAAGACAAAAATCCATCCAGTTCAACCATTAAAGGTTATAATCCTATACTCACACTTGATCAGAGGAAGGCAAAAAACCCAGCAAAGCATGATCCAATTTGCTCCTGCAGGGGAAAAAATTATTTCCTGATTCCCTGAGAGGCATTCAGATACTCCCTGGATCAGGGGCGGACTGACATCTCAAGGGGCCCTGGGCAATAGGGGATCATGGAGCCCCTGTGCCCTTGTCAAAACTCAAAAAAGCCTATGAAAAAAGGTACCAGGGGCATCTCATGGGGCCCCCTACTGACCCTGGGCCCTCGGGCAGTGCCCGAGTTTCCAAATGGTCAGTCCACCCCTGCCCTGGATCAACTTTACCTATAAATATTAGTATCCAGTTATATTCTGTGTATCTAGGAAAGAATCCAGGCCTTTTTTAAAGCAATCCACTGAGCTGGCTAGAACCAACTCTTGAGGGAGTCTATTCCACATTTTCACAGCTCTCACTGTGAAGAAACCTTTCCGTGTGTATATCTTAAAGGGTATGTAAAGCCAACATTTCATATTCCTGATATGTTCCTGCTGTACCATGTACTTGTATGAAAAAGTATCCTGTGCTCTTTGTATTTTTTTGTTCACTCTTTGTGTGAAATCCCTTTTGTTACTACCAGTCCTTCTACTTTCCTATTAAAAAAACGACCACACTAGATGTGAGAACACAGCAAGGTCAGTTCTCTAGCTGTGCTGGAAACTCAGTGTGCTCTCCTTCAATGATCAGACTTCTGCTGACAACCCCCCTGTCCCTGCACAGTCATTCACTAAGAAGATCAGTGTACTGCTATTTCTCCTCCTTCAGCTTTCTGTTCTCAGCTGCATAAGGAGCTTAGAGTGTGATAAAACAGAAGAAACAAGTATTTATAATGGTTTATATATGTATACACAAATGTTTTGCCTTTCATTTATATTTTAAACTGAATTAGTTGTTTTACAAGGAGTGGTTTTACATACATATACTTTAACCCTCTGCTACACTAGAAAAGAATAATAGTGTATTTTCAGTGACCATATTTTTTTTGAATCATTACTGCACTATTTAACTTAAAGTAATTTTAAAGTACATTTGCATTTTTCCAAGCTTACTCTTTCATACTTTTGTGTTATAGTATAAATATAGAGAATTGTAGATTAGCCACTAAAGGGAGGATTGCAATTGTTCTTTCTCTTTCCTAACTCTTTCTCTTTCTCTAACTGTCGAGAAAATATATCAGCCACATAGGAAGGGTATTGTTTGTAATATGCCCATTGACTCTGAGATTAGCATCATCAGAAAAACCATCAAAGTAAAACCATTGTGTTTCTCTGCACTGCAGGATGCAGAGCGTGCATATGTCATTGGCAAATGTGGCTGCCCCATGCACATATGCAGTACATTATAGAATTTTGTTAAAACAATAGCATATAATGGTAACAGTATTTAGATCAAGCTGATCTTTTTTACATACATATCTATATTCCTTATATATAGGAAAAGCTGTCTTGTTCCATTTATAATCAAAGTAATCTTCAATTCCATTAGTCAAACAAAACACATACATTGATGCATGACTAATCCAACGTTTCCTGCTAGAGATCCTAAATCAGCAATAACATGTTTGCCTCTTTGCAGACACTTAGGGGGAGATTTACTAGGGAGTGAAAATCTGGTGCAGCTCTGCATAGAAACCAATCAGCTTCCATCTTTTATTGTCAAAGCTTAAGCACTTGACTACCGGGCACTTATACCCCCTTCCTGCCCAGGCCAATTTTCAGCTTTCAGCGCTGTCACACTTTGAATGACAAATTGCGCGGTCATGCAACACTGTACCCATACGAAATTTTCATCATTTTTTTTGAGACAGATAGAGCTTTATTTTGGTGGTATTTAATCACCTCTGGGTTTTTTATTTGTTGCTAAACAAACCAAAAACATCTGAAAATTTAGAAAAAAAATGTTTTTTCTTAGTTTTTGTTATAAAATTTTGTAAATAAGTGATTTTTCTCCTTTACTGATGTGTGCTAATGAGGCTTCAGAGATGGGGACTGATAGGCTGCACAAATGGGCACTGATAGGTGGCACTGATGGGCACTGATGAGGAGGCACTGATAGGTGGCACTGATTGGCATTGACAGGCTTCACTGGTGGGCACTGATAGGCGGCACTGATAGGTGGCTTTTTTTTCCATTGATCGGTGATCCGCTCTGTCCGAAGGACACAGCGCACCACCGATCGCCATGCTGCGCACCCCTGGAGCTGCACAAACGCGGTTAGAGTGGGAGGACGTCATATGATGATGAGAGAATCGCTTTGTGCTCGTCATTACCTTATATGGTGGGCGGGAGGCGGTTAATCAAAAAAGCTGAAGTTAATAGCTGATTGGTTTCTATGCAAAAGTGAGCCTGATTTTGCACTCTCCAGCTTTAGTGAATAAACCCCTTACTGTCTACATGGCTTCATGGAAATTCTCAGGGAGGTTTCCTGAGGGTGACAACATTGGACCATGTCTAAATATTGTGTGTTGTAATGGCCATTTGCAGTCTACATCTGAAGCACGGGTTATAGGGTGATAATGCAGGAGCACAATTGAGAGATAGGGACAGAGTGCTGTAACCCTATGACAGAAATTGTCCTGAAAAGGCCCTCCATGGCAGGGTCACTGGGTACTATTTTAGAGAGTTGCAGTTTTTAAAATACAGGCAGTCCCCGAGTTACAAACATCTGACTTACATACGACTCATACTTAAGATCGGAGGCAGCGTGATGTCACACTGGTCCTCTAAACCACCAGCCATCTTGCTGCTCACTGCATGCTGCCACCTACTGTCTGATGGACCTGTCAGCAATCCCACATCACTGCATGGTCAGTTAACCCTTAGCTATGCTATCAAAAATGTAAAAATAATTAAAGGCCATATGCATATGTTTATGTCCTCTCCTTGTTTGTTTTTTCCTTCAATAAAGTTTGTTTTTTCAATAAAAAAAAAAATTAATTAAAGGCCTACAGGACCTATCTTGTTCGTAACCCAAGGACTTTCAAGGTGATTATAAGCCCCGGTTCACAAATATGCGGCCGTGAGGGCCGCGTTTTGCGTGGGCACGAGAGCCCATTCATTTGAATGGACTCCCCGTGCCCCGTGACACGCAGAGAAGAAGTCCCTGCACTTCTTCCGAAAACGCAGCCTGCACGGGAACCTTGGTTCCCGCTATGGTTGTGTTTTCCAGTGCGGGCGGCATGCCATTAGAACTAATGGCACCCGCCCGTGGGTCCACATTCCTCTGTGTGGGTGAACAGATGTGAACCTAGCCTTAGTAGCCCAGTCCTCACCATTTGGGAATGTATCGGTTCATTTTGGTCTAAGTAATTGCAAGAACTTCCATTTGTTAAAAAAGGATGTTATTACTAATGGTAATTTTCCAACTTGTATTATCATGCATTCCTTCCCTCTTAGGGACAAGAGGAAAGGATGGTGTTAAAAGCATGTGGAATGGGCTGTAGGAGAAACATTGATGGCTCCTAGTTTGTGGGCTGTTGTCTCCCTGCCATTGTTTTCAGGTAGACAGTGGCCAGTCCATCATTATCCTTATGTCTTAACTGTATTTCCACATTTGCAGTCTCTGGGCAGACTCAGCTCTGAAAAATTTCACGCAGTGAGTCTATGCCCACACATATTGGGGACACACTGAACTCCCCCTCATTAACATATAGCACAGAGGACCATCTTCTTGCTCTTTAACACATTGTTAGGAAAGACAAGTGTTCAAAGCTAGTTTACAACTGATAATGAGACTTGCCAGTACAGTACAGATAGGGTTTATTTTGGTAAAGAATAACTCCCCCATAAACATTACAGAAAAAGAAAATGAAAGTGGCAAAGGCTAAGGTTTTTTTTTCCCTTAATGCACTCTCTGCAGTAAGGTAAAAAACTTTTATGTAAAACTCCGCCCCTTTCCCAGCCTCCCTAAATACTTAGCTGAGTTTAATCTCAATCCAGCAATATGCCTAAGAGCAGCGGTACTGCTCTTTCTCTTTCTGCCACTGGATTCACTGAGAGCCATTGGCTCCTGCTGCTGTCAATCCAATCCAGTGTTGAGGAAGCAGAGAGCGGGGCCAAAGACACACACAGCCTGGCTCGGGATCAAACACACACATGTGCCACCATAGGAAGCTGGGTTCCTGTGGTGGCACACAGAGTAGAGGAGGAGCCAAGAGCACTGGCAGGGGACCCTCAGAAGAAGAGAATTGGGGCTGCTCTGTGCAAAACTATTGCACAGAGCAGGTTAGAATAACATGGTTTTTATTTTTATTTTGTTTTAAAGAACCTTACAATCACTTTAACCTCTTGCCGACCGCGCATAGCCGAATGACGGCTTCACCGCGGCCGGCCAGTTCTGAGTGGACGTCATATGACGTCCTCCCAGAACGCGCTCTCCTGCGCGCCCCAGGGGGCGCGCACCCCCGGCGATCTCCGTGATCGCTGTGTCCTAGGACACAGCTGATCACAGTGATGTGGTGAAAGGCCGATCCCACCGGCCTTTTACCACGTGATCAGAGGTGTCCAATGACACGCTGATCACAGGGAAATGCAAGTGCCGGTTCTCGGCTGCACTTTCCTCACGCTGTCAGATCGTGAGGAAAGTACTGCCGAGAACCGGCAGTTGTCAGAGCGGGGATCGGCACCGATCATCAGGGCACTGATGATCAGTGCCCTGATGATCGGTGCCCAGCAGTGACACCCGCAAGTTCCGCCCAGCAGTGCGCCCACTAGCCCCGCCCACCCGTTCCCAGCAGTGCCCCCACCTGTGCCCAGCAGTGCCCCCACCTGTGCCCAGCAGTGCACCCACCTGTGCCACTCTGCAGTGCCACCTACCTGTGCCCAGAAGTGCCACCTACATGTGCTCAGCAGTGCCACCCACCTGTGCCCACCCACCTGTGCCCACCAGTGCCACCCACCTGTGCCCACCAGTGCCACCCACCTGTGCCCACCACCAGTGCTGCCCACCAGTGCCACCCACCAGTGCAGCCCAGCAGTGCTGCCAGTCAGTGCCACCAGTCAGTGCCCAGGGGTTGTGCCAGTCAGTGCCGCCAGTCAGTGCCCAGAAGTGATGCCAGTCAGTGCCGTCTATCAGTACCCATCATCAGTGTCACCTATCAGTGCCGCCTATCAGTGCTGCATATCAGTGCCGCCTATCCGTGACCCCTAATTAGTGCTGTCTATCAGTGCCGCCTATCCGTGCCACCTCATTAGTACTGCCTATCAGTGCCCTTTAGTGCTGCCTATCAGTGCCCATCAGTGCCGCCTATCAGTGCCCATCAGTGCCGCCTCATCAACGCAAATCAGTGAAGGAGAAAAAAAAATACCTGTTTGAAAAATTTTATAAAAGAAACAAATAAACTTTTTTTTTTTTCAAATTTTTTTGCACATTTTTTAATTTATAGCGCAAAAAGTAAAAGCGCCCAGTGGCGATTAAATACCACCAAAAGAAAGCTCTATTTGTGAGAAAAAAATGATCAAAATTTCATATGGGTACAATGTTGCATGACCACGCAATTGTCAATCAAAGTGCGGCAGCAGCTGAAAGCTGAAAATTGGCCTGGTAAGGAAGGGGGGTATAAGTGCCTGGTAGGCAAGTGGTTAAGCAGGTTTTTTCAAAGACTAGAATTTTCAGAAAATAGAATTTAAAACTGTAAGAAGCCATTTTGAAATGCCTTTTTTAATGAATGGTATGTGAGGGGAACATGTAACAAATATATAGTAGGTATTATCCCAATTTGGCTACAAAACTGCATATACACTTTAAAGAAACAAATAGGGTTCAGCCTGGTGATCTGAAGGCCCTCTCTGTTCTCTGCAAATAATTAGAAACATACAGTCTCGTTCTTCCTTCCCTAGCATGGTTCCGCTCTGTCCTCCCTCCAGGATAATTCTCATGGTATTCCTTTCTCCTATCTGTACATCACTTCTCCTTTTCTTGGTCTCACCAGTGGGCCTCTGCCTTTTTTATATCACATTCTACATCTGCCTCTGCCTATAAGGAACATTCCTAAATTTTGTATAGCCTGAAACCAAGCACTTTATGCACTTTGTTGGAAAGATGCATACTAATAAACCTTACATAAATTGTTTTTTTTTTTAAAGATGACAGTTTCTCTATAATATAGAACATGTGCTTCAATGTTTTTTGCATTTTGGAAAAAAATATATATCTAAGGGCAGTTGTTGTCTGGTTTCTTTAATGGTTTTCTCTTTCACACGCACATCACATCTCATTTACAATTCAACAAATCCCGATTTGCAGGGAGAGTTCCTGGAAACGTCCTGGTTTTCAAAAATGGCCACAGTTACCATACATTCCAACTTTTTTTTGCATGTAACAATCAGATTGCATGCCATGTGTTCATTTAGAATGTATATCGACTAGAAGAGGCAGCTACCATTATGTAGACTGTAGTAAATCCTATTTTGTAAAATGTCTCTGTAGACCATTCATGGAGTGGTATTGTATTGTGTATGTTTGTGCACCTGCATGTTGAAGTTCAAGCAGTAGACGGTGTATAAGATTCTGTATGTTGGTGCTTGGAATAGAGAATCCGGTTATAAGAAATGAACATACACTGTCTTTTTTCCTATGACAGCAAAGTATTCGAGGCTTTGTTAGGCTCCATGTACACGGGACGTTTGGAAAACACCTCTGAACGATGGAAACTGACTGCTGGAAAACATAGGTTAAAAAACATCTGTTTAGCCGCGTTTGCATACAGTGTTTATGCGCATTTATGAGTGTTTGCATTTAGAAGCGTTTTTTTTTTTAAAGATAACCTCAGGAGACCTTCCAAAATGCCCAAAATGCTTTGAAAAACAGTAAAAAATTAACTATTTCAGACATTTTGAGATAAATAGAGAGAGCAGAAGCAGAGAGAGCAGTATGTGTTGAGATGCCCTGTCTTTTCTGGTTGTATTCACTATGGATCCCATCATGAGCATAATGTGGCGCTTTCTACCATTTTTTTTTCACACGTAAAACCTGGAACTGACTGCGCTGGTGTACCGGGTCCATTTGAATACATGGAAAACACTTTGCATGCATTTCTGTTGATGAAAAAAGGCTCTGGACAGCATCTGGATATGGAACAGTTAAAAAACGCTTCTAAACGCGGTTAGCTTCGTTTACAAGCGTTTGGCGTTTGAAACGCTGATAAAATCTACTCCTGAACGCAAGTTTGGTGCATTCAGAAAAACGACTGCAAACTTAACTGCCTGTAAATGACTGTAAACGACGATGGGGACATGGACACATAGGAAAACATTAGGGAGAGTTCAGGGGCTGCTAAAAAAAAAAAAAACAACAGAAAAGCGTTAGTTGTTAGTTAGTTTTTCAGCTGCAGTGTACAATAATGTGCATTTTCTTTAGTGAACCCTATAGGACTAGAAGGCATTTAAAGTGGTATCAAAACACAAATCCAAAACTGTTATACATTGATGCTTACCAATCATTAGATGTGGTGGCTGCATGCATTAGCTTTCTTTTTTAGGATTTATTCCCTCTGTTTTCACCTGGTGATCTGGTCAGTAACAGTGTATTAGAATGCCCCTGCTGTGGATGAATGAGCATAGGGGGGCACAGCAGACAGCAGCATAGCTAGTTTGGGGGGGGTAGTGTTAAATGTACTAGCAGATTTAAATACACAAACAGAATGAAGCCAAACTCCAGCTTACACTTTATAATCAGCGGTTTGTTTCCCTATTGGGATAAAGGTTTCACATCAATAAATAAAAGCTGATCTTTGCCAGTGTTGAAGGGTTAGTCTTGTTCCTGTAAACTGATACATCTGGAAGACAGCTTGTTCTTTTGAAAAACAACAAACTTACTGGCCTTATTGCCAGTTGTAAATCGAAGACATAAAGCCCAAGGGTCCATGCGCATTGGCTTAAAAAAATGCTGTTCCTAGAGGGTTTTAGAGTATTGCATGAAGAAGCAGCTCGATGTTATCCTATGTATCATATACTTCAGGACATTTAGAGGCATATTTTAAGCGCAGCATTTAGAGACAGAAAAAAAACTTCTGTTTTGTATTTTTGAGAGCATTTTTTGGCAGAGAAAAAAAAAAAAACAGCGCTAAACACATCTAATCGCAAGTACAAAATTAGCTCTTTATGCTGCCAAGAGCACTGGCATTTTTTAAGCCAGTGTGCATGGATCCTAAAAAAGAAAACTAATGCAGCCATCACACCTGTGAGTTGGTATACTGCAGTATAATGCATTTGCTTTTTGGTTTAATACTGCTTTAAGCAGTATCCACACTGAATATCAGTGTATGATCAGCTAAATAAATTCACTGATATACATATCCATGTGCACATGCGTACCATAACAGTTTAACCCTGTTTTTGCTCATTTGTTTTAGTAAATGAGACCCATTCTCTGTTTCCTTTATATACCATAAACCAAGCCTAAGAATCCAATGGATCCCAGCGGTTCAGGATGCAGTGTTCAGCTTTATTACGTTATGTCCTTTTAAATGTACTATGCTACCTTTCGCAGCTGGATTATATTTTTAAATTTAAGGACAAGGCGGTTTTTTTTTTTTGTGTATTTCATTGACAGTATGCCCAGTCTGCCTCCTGGTGGTAGAATACATTTTTGTATTAATCTGTGTGATGAGGGATTACAGGATGCTTTTTGCTCATGTATGCAAGTTGAGTTTGTATGATCTTTAACATCATTTCCCTAAAAACTTGAACTAAACTATAAACTGCGTAGTGAATATAACCATGTTTATGGTATGCACAGTACACATCACTTTTTAGTTAACAAAGAATAACAAGACTGTTCCTCTGTCCAGCATATAAGCAGTCTGAAATTTCTGCCCATCCTTCGAATGATAATAGTACACTAGAAAAAAAATAAATAAAAAAGATTTAGGATCTTCACCAGTTTTTACTGTTAAACTGAAACTCTAGAAAAAGAGAGGTTTAACCTTTACCTACTTATCCAAAATTAAAGAAAAAAATGGTTGGGTTGGAGTTACACTTTCAGGGGAGTTCAAGGAAGGTGTAATGCATTGGTAAATGTACCATAGGTACAAGCAGACACTTCCAGGCCTACAAATGGGTCAAGGATAACCAGGGGACTCAATGTATTATTTCTGCATCTGATGAGCAGACATCATCCAATGACAACCAAATACTGAAATATTAGTGAAAATATAAGGGCCTTATGCACACTGGACTTTTTTGCTAGCATTCCTGGATGCAGTGGCGTCCCGAGGCAGGTGCGGGGGGAGCGGCCCGCACCGGGTGACACTGACCGCATGGGGAGACTCCGGACCCGCTCCATGAAAAGGTAAGTTGTAAAGCAAGCCGACGATCCCCGCAGGATGGATCGGATCTGCAGATTGAGCATAATGGATCGACACTAATAGGTGGCACTGATGAGCTGGCACTGATGATGGGTACTGATATTCGGCACTGATAGGCGGCACTGACTGGCGGCAACTGCTGGGCACTGACTGACGGCACTGCTGGGAGGCACTGACTGGAGGCACTGCTGGGCTGCATTGATGGGCACTGGTGGATGGCACTGGTGGGCACTGTTGAGCACAGGTGGGTGGCACTGCTAGGCACAGGTGGGTGGGCACTACTGGGCACAGGTGGGAGGCACTGCTGAGCACCGATCATCAGGGCACTGATCATCAGTGCCCTGATGATCAGTGCTGATCCCTCCTCTGATATTGCCAGTTATCGGCAGTACTTTCCTCATGCTCTGACAGCGTGAGGAAAGTGCAGCCGAGAACTGGCAGTTGCATTTCCTGGTGATCAGCGTGTCATTGGATACGGCTGATCACGTAGTAAAAGGCCGCTTTGATTGGCCTTTTACCACATCATGTGATCAGCTGTGTCTGGCGGACACAGGGATCACAGAGATTGCCGGGGGCTCGCCCCGGGGGTGTGCAGGAGAGTGCATTCTGGAAGGACGTCATATGACGCCTATGACGCCCACCCAGAACTGGCCGGCTGCAGTGCAGCCGTCATTCGGCAACTAGTTAAGTGAGTTAAGTTCTGCATTAATAATATAGATTCAAAGATATATTTTTAAAAAAAAAATGCATTGGTATGGGAAAATATCATGAGCTGAGGACATACTTTATATTTATGAACAATGTTATCGGCCAAAAGATTTAAAAATTCTTCAGCTAGTATTCCAGGCATCATTTCTACAAAATGAGTGCTGGTGAAGAGCTGGACCCAAATGTAAGCATAAGTTTGCTTGCCAGTTTCAAGAGAGAGCTTGTATCATGCAAGAGAATTGCTAAGAGACCCTGGAGTTGACAGTGATAGAAGCAAATACTGGAAAATGAAAGCAAATGGTTTAAGCTTAGAAGAAATGGGCACTGCAATACTTGTGCGCATTAGGCACATAGAAGGTGTAGGCGACATCTTGTTTAGGCCAAGTTTTTTTCATGAGTCCAGCGATCTTACCCCCTCCCTCCTTCTGCAATCTACAGAATCCATAGACTTAACTTTTAACACACTTCAGAAGAGCCTGTTATCTCAACTTAGAAACAGTAGACACCAGCACACAAGTCTTGGACAGAGCTGTAAACAGCTAATTGAGTCCTGGCAGGATGACTGTTAGTTTCTAATGCCCATAAAACCTCTACAGATTAACACTTCCCTCTGACCTATCGTAAAACTATGACAAAAGTTGTCAGTTCTGTCATGCATGGTTTGTAGGGCAATTAAAGCACTAGGAACATCTAGCATTCCATAAAAACGTTTACCCAGAAAGCAACCAGGCGTGGGGGCGGCCTCTCCGAGACCTCTGCCCAGTTCACAACTTAACAAAATCCACACACAATTCATAAAATCTAACAGGACCAAGACACATTAATATTAAATACTGTATATATTTGAATGGGGAATATCATACTAAACAAATCAAGGTCATACATGACTAAGCTAGCACATATGAAAGGGGAGAAAGCATTCTCCAACCTCCTGGGTGACAAACCCATCTGAAATACTCCTTGTTTGGTATCCCTGGACACGAAATATAATGCTGAACAATAATCTAACAGTTTCCAGAATGCAACCTGTATGTAGTGGAAGATATTATTATTAGTATTAAACTGAGTGTAAGGGAGGGCCATGACACAGTTATAAACATGGAGACCTCCCAGCCACCACCCCTTAAACTGAGTAATTGGTCAGATGTCTCTGTCAACACCACTTTGATACCACAGAAAAAGGAAATGTCAGGACCCCCTGACAGCTCTCGTTTAACATCAACCAAGGAACACCTAACCGGACTTGAGAGCCACTGTACCATTTTTGCTTGAGCAACTGGACTCTGCTAAAACTAAGGATTTCACAATTCTTCATTTTGACTCCTTTTTAATTCTCTGTTGCTTTATTGTCTCTTTGTTTCCTTGTAACACCTTTTTTCTGTAAATATTTTATTTGCTCCATTTTGTCCTTTTCATTATTTAACCCTAAAAAAGTGTTGAAAGTGTCTGTAACTGCGCTAATACAAACTAAAGAATCCCTGTTTCTTGAAGTGCTACTGTATATGACGAATCTCTGAACATACCTGTCTGTGGTGACAGACTGTGTTGCAGACATTTATTTTTCATATTTTTTCTTGCTAATATTGTGAAGGGTTGATAAGCCCAAAGCTGTCTGGTCTAGTGGTAGTTTGGAGTGTAAAGAGTTAATTGCTTAATTAACTTGACCCAGTGACAATTGCTCTCAGACTGCTGGCATCTAGATTGTGGTCCTGCAAGCTGGAAAATATTTGTGCAGGGTGAAGATGAGAGTGGCATTGTTATGTAAGTGACAGCGCAGTGTGAGATTGGCCAGTTCTTTGTCATTAATTGGTGAGAAGGACAGGGATCGGGTACCGCTTTTGTCACAGGCACCAGTGGTGTAAGGCCCTTTTCACACTGGAGATCAGTTTTCCAGGCAGACCTGATTGGATGGTCCATGCATCCCTATAGACAGGCGGGTCTAAATGGACTTGTGTCTGTTTAAAAACCCACCAACCTCTGGGTCTGATTGGGTCTGCTTAAAAAAAAAAGAAACAGAAGGGGATATGTCCACTTCCGTTTAGGTGTATCAGATCAGAGGGCAGTTTGGTGTAAATGGACAGATAGAGCCCCATAGAGCAGGGTGTGCTCTGTCCTTATCAGCTCTGCATAAACTGAGCAGACATGGATGTGCCATCCACCCATTCTGCTCCAATCAGCAAGGATCTGTGAACTGATCCCCTGCTGATAAGAATGGATTCCACCCAGAATCTGCCCTGTGCAAAAAGAGCCTTAAACTGACAGTACTATGCAATTAGGAAACTATCATAAAACTAGTTTCAGATATTTATATGAACCAGGGGTGGACTGGCAAGTCATGGGACCCCCGGGCAATAGGGGATTATGGGGCCCCTGTGTCCTTGCCCTCACTCAAAGCACACCCAAAAAACCTATAAAAAAGATACCAGGGGCATTTCATGAGGCCCCCTACTGACCCTGGGCCCTCGGGCAGTGCCCGAGTGCTCAAATGGTCAGTCCACCCCTGATATGAACTTTACTTAAATTAGTTATTTTCTTCTTTTAATACATTCGTGGGTTACTTTTTTTTTATATCTTGCCAGCAAAACAAATGTTTTTAAGTGAATACAACTCAAGTTTAATGACTTAAATTCTTAAGATGCTTTCTTTAGCTTAATAATATACTATGTATGGCCAGGAATCTCTGACCTGAAAGCTAAACATTTGTCTAAACGAGGACAATAAAACTTCACCAAATACCTTGTTGTTTACTGAGTTGTTTGAATACAAAAAATGCTAGTGGACTTTGGAAAGTGATAAGGTTTTACGTAACGTCTTTAAGAACCCATTATTATTGTGTTCTCTCTACATTTTAGGACATGCTTTTTTCTTCTCTTTAAAGGTATTCAAAAAATGCTAAAAAATGTGGTCTCTTATTCAGTGTCATTATTAGGTAAAGGCACATCATTCACAGTGTGACACTTATCTTGATAAACACATTATTTGTTGTCTTTCTTCTTTGTTATCTCCAATTCCTGCTATGTAATTAATTGATCTAAAGATGTGTGTAGTGCTAACTCCTCAGGGGTCACTTGATGATGCTTGTCCTCAGTGGTTGTCCTGACCTTGCAAGCCTTTTGACACTCTGGGTTCAAACATATTTCAACAGTATAGCATAATAATGCAAGAGGCAAAATTCTTTAGTAACACCTCTATATTAGACTTGTTCAAAAGAGTAGGCTACAGGAATAATGGGTTTAGGTTATATAACCCCAGTTAACACATAAAAGCAGAACACTGGTAAAATAGGAATAATCAGTTAGCAACGTTTAACAAATTATACAGTCATAAGTAGTAAGCTTTAACTATTTAATTGAAACACCAGCAGCATGAAGGAGAAGAAAAGGCTTGTTGACCTATCAGCTCCCTCTGTGCCACTGGTGCCGCAACGGGGCATACAGAGAATTATGTAAATGTATACACTGGCATAAATAGATACAAGTACCCTAAGTTGAATAACAACGGCCGTAGAAGAGAAAAGGTCCCTTTAACTAGAGATAGTGACTTGAGTCCTGTGATGTTTAAAGTTCCTGATATGGTGGTATCCACTGTCTTCTGCTAGCAATAGTGGGGCCCGTAAGCATTAGTATATACTGGTAATTCAATGAAGTTATATAGATAAGTCATGGTAATGCTCAAAGCAATGGTGTTCTGGTACTGAGGTGTAAAAGTGTCTGCATGCAGTGTCTCTAGAGTGATGGCAGAAAGAGGTTAGGCCTCTGCCTGCTCACCAATCCCAAGGATAGCATGGCCTCCTAGGAACAGAGTTTTTGCAAAAGCTCTTGGTTTTATGCATGGATGTACAGAGTTACCACCTGACAGCTTGTGAGCGCAGTGAGATGTCTGTGTTAAGACTGGATAGTGACAGTCCCGATGTAGAGAAGACTGATGCGATCCCATGTGTGGCGATCAGCGTCACTGATGTGCAGAGTCCCACAGCAGTTTGCCAGCACTCTGTCTCTGAAGAAGAACGACACACCCTGCGTTCAGTTCTGTGTCCCCCACCAAGAGAGTGTGTAACAATCTGTAATCCCAAAGAATGATAAATAGTGCCAATAATATTATAGAGTGCCAAAGACTTGTAAATGGATGCTGTGCTATACACTTAAAGGTTTTCCACATCACCTAAAATAAGAATAATCAATAAACATAAGGCAATCATATAAACAAAGTGTCCATCTTTTACCCATGTGTTAAAACAAATGGCTACATGTAAAAGAAACATCATGTGCTTGGAGAGGCTACCCAAAGAGGTATTAAGCCCAAAACTAAAAATGTAATATATTGCAGTTAACCAATCAATAGATGTGGTGGCTGCAAGGGTGGACTGACCATTTGGAAACTCAGGCACTGCCCGAGGGCCCAGGGTCAGTAGGGAGCCCCATGAGATGCCCCTGATACCTTTTTCATAGGCTTTTTTGAGTTTGGGCAAGGACACATGGGGCCCCATGATCCCCTATTGCCCGGGGGCTCCATGAGTTGTCAGTCCGCCCCTGGGTGGCTGCATTAGTTTTCTTTTTTAGGCTCCCCCTCTGTTTTCACCTGGTGATCCGGCCAGAAACACACTTTCTGTATTTGAGTCTCCCCAATGTGGATGGAGCACAGCAGACAGCAACAATGTCAGTCTTGGGGGAGGAGAGTATTAAACGTATTAGCAGATTTAAATACACAAACAAATTGAAGTCAAACTCAAGCTCACATGTTATCAGTTACGGCAAACTTTTTTTTTTCTAGTGGGATAAAGGTTTTACATGAATAATGAAAGCTGATCTTGTAAGTACCCCTGTCAGTGGTAAATGGTTTGGCTCAACCCTCTAACTGCTACATCTGCTGGACAGCTTGTTCTGTTGAAAAACAACATACTTACTGGCCAGATCACTAGGCAAAAATAAAGGAAAGAAAGCCAACAAAATTAATATTGCCATCCCACTGAAGAATTGGTAAGTAAAAATAAATTATTATTATTATAATACAGGATTTATATAGCGCCAACAGATTGTTCAGCGCTTTACAATATAACGGGAGACAATACAGCAGCAATACAGTTCAATACAAGAAGGTTAGCAGGGCCCTACCCCTTGGAGCTTACAATCAAATGTTTGCTTTTAAGCTTTATACCGCTTTAACGGCTTCCCGTCCGCCCATTGCCTATAGATGGTGGACGGGAAGCTTTGACAATGCAAGCTAACACACCTGTATGTAAGTCCGCATCGGTGGCTCCTGCGCAGCTCACAGAGCGTGCACCCGGGAGCCCGGCGATCACTATATCGCCTGGACTCAGCAGATCACATGGTGTTTTACCAATCACAGCACGCGCATTGTAAACATTGAAAGTGAAAGTAAAGATCACTTCTCTCTGCTCCCAGTGGGAGAGCAGAGGGAAGCGATCCTGCAGCTTGTGAATGTACAGCAGCCTGTCAGGCTACATGTACTCTTACAAACTGCAGTGCCAGCCACCCAAGTGTCCCAGTTTAGTGCCCCTCTGTCCCTGATCACTGCCCCAGTATATCCATAATAAATAATGTAGCCAGCCATTGTCACCTGTCTCAGTGTGCTCAAAAACACTGCCATACACCAAACCAAGATCCTGATCACTGCCATTATCAGTGTCCTGGTCACCACCATACCCCAGACCAATGCCCTGATCACCGCCATACCCCATACCAACACCCTGACCACCGCCAACCACCATACCAGCACCCTGATCACCGCCAACCACCATACCAGAACCCTGATCACCGCCATATGTCATGCCAGCGTCCAGCATTTTAGCATCTCAACTGATCAATTTTCAAATATATATTCCATAGTTTGTAGACTCTGTAGCTATCAAACAGACTAAATATATACCCCAAAAATATAGCAGAATACATTTTGGCCTAAATGTATGAAGAAAAAATTATTTATTTACAAAATTTTATAACAAAAACTAAGCAAAAAATGATAAAGGGGAACTGGAGCTTCGGGATGATGTGACCAGAGCAGAGTAAAAGTAGGTAAGTACATACAACGTTTTAAATACAGGTTAGGCAGGATAGGTAGGAGAAAGGATGAAACATTTTTAAGAATAGTTATGGTTAGGTTTTTTTCCACTTTAAAGAGGAACTTCAGTCCTCTTTGTACTGGCTCAGAACCCCCCCTCCTCCTCCCTTAGCACCGCGAGGGTGCTGCCAGGATTTGTGGGACCTGGCATAGCCCTTCTGCACATTTGCACAAGCACAGGAGATGAACTGCTCATTAATAGCCCTTCTTTGTGCTTGTGCAGGAAACCCGTGCATGCGTAGATGCTCAGGGAAACCTATGCATGCACAGATGTGCTGCAAGGCTCACCCAGGACCTGGAACCTGTGGCACACTGAGCGGGGGGAGTGTGGCCAGGGACTCAAACATCATTCTCGCCTAAGTGTGGAAGTGCAGAAAAAATAACTGTCATACAACACAAAAGAATAATATATTTATATCCAATTGTGAAAGAGAGAGTGGGCAGGAGGCAGGGCAATATGACATGTACAGCATAGTGAAGGTCTGTTTTAATCTTCTACAATGGAATTACTTTAATTAATCAAAGTTCTGTCCCCACAACACTGGTATTCCAGAATTGGATGAGTACAGAGCTATTTTAAGCTGGCCATTGTCAAAAAGAATTTCGTTCAAACTTTGTTTCCAAGGGGATCCCACAGGTATGGCACATACTTACTTACAGTGGCCAAACTGTACCAATGGAACTACGGTATGTAAAAAGAGTAACTACATAAAACTGCCATACCTGAACTTCAGCTTTACAGTGATTCTAAGGCTTCATGTAAACTGCAGCTGATAAACTCGTTTAGGAGCTTTTCTGCATTTTTTTCAGCAGCCCCTGAACTCTCCCTAATGTTTTCCTATGTGTCCATGTACACATAGACATTTACAGTCATTTACAGGCAGTTGAGTTTGCAGTCGTTTATTTGAACGCACCAAACTTGCATTCAGTAGATTTTAGCAGCGTTTCAAACGCCAAACGCTTGTAAACGCGTGTAAACACAGCTAACCGCGTTTATAAGCGTTTGGAAATTTTTTTTAACTCTTCCATTTCCAGATGCTGTCCAGAGCAGCAGTCAGTTTCCATCGTTCAGAAGTGTCCCGTCTACATGGAGCCTAAAGGTTGCAATGCTCGATTTTTAATTTTAATTTATTTTAACCCAGTATAAGGCACAACACTGCCTCTCTACCTCAGCTGATATCTTCAATAAAATGGCGGCCGCACGACCCGCACATGCGCATTTGGGAGTGATCTTACAGGACTTTCTAACCAACAAAATGGCGGCCGGAACACTCGCGCACACGCAGTGTGACACGCGGTGGCCATTTTAGAATTAGGAAATCACCAAAAATATGGCGCTCGCGCATGCGCAGTACGCTGCACTTCGGCAAGATGGCGCTGGCGCAATTGGGTGCATTTTTACCCTATATATATGAGCAATGT